AACACGCTACTTTATGTGTAATGCACTTTCAATTGATGCTGAAGAGATCATACTCTACTCTTTCCTGCCCTATCCTCATTCATTTAGTAAATATACATGCTGCTCTTATATCCCATTCCCATTTTACATCTAAATCATGAATGAAATCATCATTGCCACCAACACCCCCCTCATCACACTCCACCCACTCATCCTCAACCCCTCACTCGGCTTCACCTCTCCTGCATCATCTTCCTCTCCTGTCGTACACTTCGTAGGCTTACACCGCCTCGTCGAAGTCAACGTTATTCTCGATGTGACCGTAGACGTAGTTGTGGATGTGCTAGTATGGGTCGACGTCTTTGTGACCCACGTATCTGTCGTCTGCAGAGACTGGCAGTCTGTTGCCTTTCCTTCTCCCTCTGTCTTTGTTGTTGTAGTGGTGGTTGTGGTTGTGGTGGTTGTCGTCGTTGTTTCTATTTCGTATGGTTTCACTTCCAATGACTTTAATTCGTTGCATGCCTTCTCAATTTTACTGCATGCATCTTGTAATGTCGGGCACTCTTCTTTAAACCCACATTCTAATTTCAAAACTTTACATTCTTCATTGACTTCCACATACGCCTCCAGTGCTCTTGATACTGCATCGAAGGCTTCAACTTCTGCCTCTGTGACAAGTACTTCAACTGTTCCTCTCCGAACAAGTCTGGCTTGCGTCTTTTGAGTCGTATTTGCTCCTCCTACTGATTTACTTTGATCACTATTCGCATTTTTCCCTGAATTCACTTCATTTTTCTTTAACGATGATAGAACAAGTTTTGCACCTTCTGATGCTTTTTTTGCTACTTCATTTAAATCATTAACTTCTTTCACTTTCTCTTTTATTATTGTTGATTTTGCTTGTAATTTTGTAGACAATTCTGCGCATTTTTTTTCCAACAGTTTTAATAATTTTTCGCATAGTTCGGTCCTAACAGTATCACTCTTACTACCACTATTACCATTACAAAGATTCTCCAATGTGCTATTTTTTTTCTTAGTCCATTGTGTGCAATACTGGTCAAGAGTCTCTTTACATTTACTCCTAAGCTTCCCTTTAAACTCATACATAACTTCCATTTCTAGATTATATCTCTCCCGGTATGGTTTACATTCCTTCTTAAGTTTCTCACACACTCCATTACCAGCATTTGTTAGATTATTGCAGCTAGTCATAAATTTGTCACAATACGGTTCCCAAAGGTTACAAGTTGATTCTCTTTTTTTTTCCTTATTTGCTTTTTCAACAATTTTCAGTGTTTCTATATTTTTCCCTAATGCTGTACATTTAAAAAAGAGGCTTTCTGTGATAATTTTACAAGTAGTATTCTGTGTTATACATGCAAGAATAAACTGTGTTTTCCTTTTCTTAATCCAATCATTACATTGTTCTTTAACATTTTTTTTACAAATTGTTTCATTTTTTAAATCTTTTATCTTTTTTTCTAGTAACTTATCTTCCAATTGCTCTGTATTTCTTAATCGATCACAGTGCTGGTTTAGTGTACGACATGGCCACTCAATCTCTTCTAAATTATTCTGTAAATATTCACATTTCTTTTCTAGCTCTTTACAGTTTTCGTGACTTGGAAAATCTCGTTTTAAGTCCAAAACTCTTACCAAATGAACACCTTGTTCTCTGATATTATTTCCAAGCGCTATGCATGTGCTTTTTGGGTATAAACAGAGCTCTACTATTACTCCGTTAATGCTTGTTATTTTTTTACATAGATCTATCAGATGACTTTCGCATTTTTTAATTCCATTATTCTTTATTAAATTAGGCAATGGCTTTTCAAAACTCTCTTGGAAATATTCATATGCTTCTCTAAATTTTTGTGTTTTCAAACATGCTGATCTTGCATTTTTGCATGCATTACCAAGTTTAATGTTCAATTTTTCGCAAGGTTTTTGTAAATAAAAACATTCCGACTCCAAACTTATGCAAAATTTTTCATCAAGTTCTGTGGATTGCTCATCCCATTCTAGTGGAGCAGCATCTTTGCTTTCATTATTAGTATCTGATAATGATATTCCATGTAATTCCGATTTTAATGTCTTGCATCTAAGTTTTACCTTTTCTTCTAACTTCTCACATGCTTCTTTTCCTTCTGTACTTAGTTCTTTATTTTTTTGATAGAAACTTTTCAGCTGAGGTATATTTTCGTAAAATTCTTTTCCATTTTTAAGTTTGTCTTGACATTTTTTTAAGTCTTCACTTGCTATTAACGCTAATAGATCAATTGAATCCTTTGTTTCTGGTCTTCCAACATTTCCTTTAAATAAATCTTCTTTTTCTATCTTTTCTACCAAAGTAGCTTCTTGTTTTATTGGATCAATTTTTGAGCCCGGCGGTATATATTTTATCTTTTCCTCGCATTTTTTTTTTATTTCTTTACATTGATCCTGAAGTTTATCACAGTTTGGTCCATAAAAGTGGCATCTCTTAAGTTGTAATGCACATTCTTCTTTTGATGTGCTGTTGTTATCAATAATTTTTTTCGTATCTTTTTTCAACTCATCACATTTTTTTTTTGCTGTTTCTTTTAATTCTTTACATTTTTCTTGCTTTGTTAAACAAAAAGACATAAGTTCATCACTTTCTTTCATCAGTAAAAGACATTTTTCATTGATAACTTTATTGCAATCTTGTTCAGTTTTCAAATTCCCACTAAATGCTCTTAAAAGAATTTCTTCGTTTATTTTACTTCGTTTTTTTTCTTTGCATTTTTCTCTTAATTCATAGCAATTTTTTTTAAGATCATCTGAACACGCTCCCTCTAAAAACATGCATACATTTTCATTCGTACAGTCATTATCTTCCAAAAGTGTTTTTTTCACTACTGGATCTAATGCAGTCTTATGTATTGTACATTTTTTAGTAATTTCTTCTTTCAAATTATTACACTTTTCTTCTGTTTTCTCACATAATCCTTTTAAGATTGGATGAACTTTGTCTAAATTTGATTCTACTTTTTTTAAATCATTACAGTAGTTATCTAGTTCTGCTTTGCATTCTTGGGCTGCATTATATTTTTTTTTTACAATCAAAGCTAAAAGATTTACTTCATCATCTTGCGTTCCCTGTGGAGATGCAGCCCGCCGCTTAACCGCCCGCGCCACCGCCCGCGCCAAGCTGTGCCTGACGGGGGTGGGTTGAGCTGTGGCGTGTGGTTTGAGTTTGAGTTTCCACTAATGTGTTTTAGTTGCATGCGATATTAGAGTCATGTCTTCAAATTCGAATATTAAATTATTTCTAATTAATTTTAAGGGTGTTCAAGTAAAAACTGAGATAACTGTGATAGGCAGGCATTATGTGTGCAAATATATTTAAGAGGTGTCCGCTTTAACGTGTAATTGGCTGCTTTCACGATATTTTAAATTTGTGTGGGGTAAATGTGGGGTAATCGTAAAACTTGAATAGATAAAAAGTAGAATATAAAAGGACATAAACGAGAAATAAAGGCTATTTAAACAAAGAATAGTGATCAATTAGATAGGGAACACGCGATTTCATATGTAATGCACTTTCAATTGATGCTGAAGAGATGACTCAATCTACTTTACTCTTTCCTGTCCTACCCTGCTCGTTTATTTACTAAATATACATGCTCATCATTAAATTTTGCTCATTTGCTTTCTAAATCATGAACGAAATCATCATTGCTAATATCACCCCCCTCATCACGCTCCACCCACTCATCTTCAATCCCTTACTCGGCTTCACGTCCTCTGCATCATCCCCTGTCGTACACTTGGTTGGTTTGCAACGCCTCGTTGATGTGAGTGTTATTTTTGATGTAATCGTAGATGTGATGGTAGACGTGCTTGTGTGTGTCGATGTCTGTGTAACCCATGTGTCTGTTGTGCTGAGAGATTTGCATTTTTCGCTATCTCCTGTTTTTTCTGCTTCTTTGACTGTTTCTGTGACCGTGGTTATATTTGTTTTTGTTACTGTTTCGTGTGGCTTCACTTTCAGTGGTTCTAATTTCGAACATACTCCTTGTATCTTTTTACACACACTTTTTAAAGCATCGCAATCGTCTTTAATCCCGCAATCTGAGGTCAATTTATTACATTTTTCCTTTAAATCTATATATCTTCCTAATACTTCTGCTGTCAAATCAAATGCTTTAACTTCCGATTCCGTTACCGATACATCCTTAACTTCTCTCCGTAGTATTTTCGCATGTTTTGTGGTATCTTGCTCGTTTGAAACAGCATTCTTCTTATCCTTACTATTACCTTTTGATGCATTACTTTCGTTTTTCTTAACGAGTGATAATACAAGATTGGACTTGTTCATTGCTTCTTCTGCCTGTTTCTTAAGTTCCTTATATGTCTTATAATCTTCTTGTAAATCTTTTTCTGGTTGTTCTAATTCTGTTGGTAATGTTTTACATTGTTCTTTCACTTCTTCCATTAATTTCTCACAGAGCTCTTCTCTAACTTTATTGTCATCCTTTTTAGACTTGTTATCAGTAGTATCTTCACATAAACTTTTGATTGACGCATTATTTACGTTTCCTGCTATTGTACAATATCCTTCTAATGCTGTAGTACATTCATTTTTCTTATTCAACTTTCCTCGAAGTTCAACCTTGAGAGAGTCTTCCAAGGCTTTTCTTTCATAAAATGGTTTACAATGTTTTTTAATTTTTGTACAAGTATCCTTTTTTAAAAGATCTAGACAATTAGGCGAAAATTTATCACAATATGGGTCCCAAAATGGGCAAACATTTGCTAATCTTGTTATTTTATCCGTGTTATTTTTAAGAAATCCAATGATTTTTGAATTCTCTATATTTTCTTTGAATACTTTGCACCTATCTTGTACGTCTTTTACCATCAGCTCACACGTAGCGTTTTGGAAAACACATACAAAAGAGAAACGATCATCACCCCTTCTAGACCATTTATTACACTTTTCCTTTAAATATGTTACACAGTTTTCATGAGTTCTTAAAGTATCCTTGTGTTCATCCAGTAAAACCTGCTTCAAGATTTCTGTAGTCCCCAAGCGATCACATTGCTGTTCCAGTGTATGACATGGCCACGTAATTTCTTTTGAATCCTCTCCTAAATCTTGGCATTTTCTCCCTAATTCCTTGCAGTCTTTATCTGTCGGAAAATCTCTCTTTTGATCCAATTGTTGTCGTAAAAAGATAACTCTCATTTGATGGTCATGTGTAAGTAATCGTGCTGCCTTTGCTGGTTGTATACACAGAACAAACAATTCATCGTTTGAGAAACTTCCTTTATTTCCTTTCAGTTTCTCACATACTTTTACTAATTCTTGTTGAAATTTCTTAAGCCAATCTTTATTTGAGCCATGCAATAACCCTCGCATATTTTTTTGCAATATATTGTTTGCCCGTGCATCAAGCCCTCTCTTATAACACGCTGCTCTCACATTCACACAAGCTTCTTTGACATCTGGACATCTTTCTTTAAAATAAAAGCAATAAGATTCTAGTCTTGCACACTCTTCATCACTAAGAAATGTTGGCAACTTGCCCCATTCAATAACTTTAGAATTTACTGCATCAAAAAGATGATTATTAATGACTTTTGAAGTGAGGATTTTGCAAGTTTTATTAACATCTTTTTCTAGTTCATTACATTTTTTCGTTCCATCATCACTTGGACCATTTCCCTCACATAGTTTTTCCAAGGCCTCATGTTCATGAGGGTTTTTGCACTTATCTTTGAGAACCTCATTGCATTTTTTTTCAGGATCATTACTATTTTCAATCAACAAAGCCAACAAAGCTGTTGCATCTCTTAGATGATTCTTTCCAATAAAAACTCCATCCTTCTCTGCCTCTTTATAAAGTTCTTCCAGCCCTATGTCTTCTGCTAGCGTAGCCTCTGGCCTAGTTGGATCAAAACCGGGTCCAGGTGGTATATAGACAATGTTTTGTCCTTGGCATTTCTCTCCCAATTCAATACATTTAATTATATCGTCTTCCTTACAGTTTCCAACGTAAAAATAACATTCTTCAAGTAATAATAGACATTTTTCCTTTTCAAAATTTTTTGACATTGTATCAAGATCTGTTTTAAGAGTAATGCATTTCTTATCCTTTTCTTTTATAATATTATCGCACGTTTTTTTCTGGTTCAAACATGAGTCCGTTAACTCATTACTTTCCCTCCCCAAGACTGGGCAAACCTCTTTAAGTTTTTTTTGACATATCTTTGATTCATTAAGATCACTACGAAGTGCTCTCAAAAGGACTTTTTCTGCTACTCCATCACGTTTTTTCTGGTAACATAGATTCCTTAGTTTGCTACAACTCTCTGTAAGATCACTAGGACATGTTCCCTCCAAAAATAGGCATTGTTGTTCATTTTTTTCACAGTCATTTGTTAAATCTGAAACTCTTTTTTGAAGTATCTTTTTAAGTCCTTCTTTTAATGTAGTACACTTTGGATAGATTTTTGCTTGTAGACCTTTGCATTTTGTCTCTTTTTCTTTACATATCTTATCTAATTTTTCATGCACCTTTTTTAGTTCTACTTTTGCGTCTGTTAATGTTTTACAGTACTTTTCCAACTTTTTTTCACACTTTACGGCATCACTATAATCCTTTCCTATAATCAAAGCCAAAAGATGTACATCATCCTCATCCGCTCCTGATGCTCCTGTTACCTGCCGCTTAACCGCCCGCGCCACCGCCCGCGCCAAGCTGTGCCAGATGGGGGTGGATTTGCGTTGTGGTGTGTGGCTGAGTTTGAGTTTCCGTTAATGTGTTTTGATTTCATGTGAGATGTTAGAACCATGTCTTCA